CATGCAGGTTAAATGTGAACAATCTATTTCTGCCTGGGGAAACAAAACCTACATGTAAGGCAACTTAAAAGATTATTAATCACTATTACCATCAAGAACTCTACTGTTTCTCTAATTTGGCTTATTCAGATCTGACAACAATTTTTAACCCAAAAGAAATACACAAATAAAGCGTCAGGTCATACAGGTCAGAGCTTTAAATACAACAAATTCAGTTGGTCACTTTAGTCTATAACTGGACCTATGTTATTACAAATAGCTAAAATGTAATCTTTGATAGTAAGTCTATGTATATGACACGTTGAAAAGATTTAAGATAAAATGATATAAGATAAGATAGACTTTTTTGATCTCACAGTGGAAAAAAAATCACTTGTCACATCAGCTCAATATTCACAAGAAGGTGCCAATAGGAGAAGAAGGTGCATGGTTCTGCAGGAGGTTTCTTCCTATTAAAAGAGAGTTTTTCCTCTCCACTTTGCTCCTCGCAGCCTCGGTATGTCAGATTACTGTAGAGTCGACCAATAATGCAGGCCAATACTTCTGTTGCCACATGCTCATGAAGGAGGAATAAAAATTTTGCACTGACTCCATGCAATCTTTAGATAGAAAAAAATTAGACAGTCTGACTGTATGATCAGATGGAATTATCTCTGTAAAGTTTCTCTAGGTTACTTGTTGTGAATTGGCACAGTATAAATAAAACGAATTAATTGAAAACCTTCTGCTGCAATTATATGTCTCTACCAACTTGTCACATACTTTACAGTAAAAACACTAACTTGTTTACAAATAACCAAAACATAAAATAGCTTAAGCTAAGAATTCATTCAGAGCACCAAGGGTGCCCATTTTGCCCAGATTCTTAATCATACCAGGGACATCTGGATTGTGCTCATGATATTTTAACACAGGAAGAAAGGCAGCCCTACAGCATGATGTTGCCGCAACTATGTGTCTGAAGGCCACTTTTTTAAAGTTATGTATTGGGTTAGTTTTCTACTGCACTGAATCCTGTAAAGTATTTCTGGTTTAGGAACCCCCTTACAAAATGAATATATATTCATTAATGTATTACTTGAAATATATTATTTTCCAAAAACATTTCCAATATATTATATGTTATTAATACATGGAATTATATATTGCAATATATTATATAATCATGTAATATATTGAAAAATATAGAATTGATTGCCGTTTTCCATATATCGTAATGTATTAAACAATAATATATAATGCATATTAAAAAAGGAGGAACAAAATCTACCAGCACATTTTGTGGATGATGCTGTGTTGCTGGGTCTGCAATGGGGAGGAACTCCTTAATAAGATTCTCTTGAGACAGGAATTCTCACTCTCATATTGTTCAAAAAGTATGTGGGCCTTGTGGCTGTGTGCTTGAAAAAAAGACTGTAACATTTTCTCTGAAGCCTCTGTCCCATTGAAACTACCGGGTTAACGGATGTTTTTTCCAACATGGTTCAACCTGCTGCTAACAATAAGCATTTGGCTCCCTTCCCACTGCCAAAAAGAGCTGGGTCTAACCCCTGCTGGCAAGCTGTGTGCCACTGCTATGTGCCTAGTGACACCCGCACGCAGGGTTAGCTTTGATGCTGTCACCAGTGTGACAGAATAGAATAGAATTCAACTTTATTGTCATTCCACTGTCAAAAGTACAGAGCAAGGAAATTCTCTGCATTTAACCCATCCCCTTGGGGAGCAGTGGGCTGCCATTGTGCAGAGCCTAGGGAGCAGTGTGGGGTTAAGGGTCTTGCTCAGGGAGCCAGAGTGGCAATCTGTGGGAGTGGGGGATTAAACTCACAACCTCAGGATTCAAAGCCCTATGCCCTAACCACTAGGGCGCCACTTCCAGAAATAAGAAAGCTAAAAAATAAAGGAGAGCAACATGTACGGAAGCCATTGCGTAGTAAGTGTGCTTTATTGTTTCGCTCTTCTATCGGTCTGAATCCCTCTTACCATGTTTATCGAATGTAAACAGAGTTGTTTCGGCTTGTTAGATCGGAAGCAGCTGGCAGTGTGTTGACGTTCGTATGTTGCTCTCAGCAGACATGGGCAATGTGGAGTCAACAAGTCATCTCCATGTCATGTATTTAATCTACCCAGCCAATTAACCAGGTGAGTCCAATCTGCACAGGTTAATTCATGGTGAAGATTGGACTCACCTGCTTCAGTGGCTGGGTAGAACAAATACATGACATGGAGATGACTTGTTGACTCCACATTGCCCATGTCTGGCTCTCAGTGGTGTCATGTAAATTAGCAGGTGAACCTGTGTCTGGTGTTCCCACAGCATGCAGATCAGAGTCAAGGCAATTTTAACGAGGGTGCCTTGCTGATTTGTTTGACCCATTTAGACACGCTTCAATGAAAGCTGATTGTTCCTGGGTTTAAACAGGTTTTTTGCCCAGTGGGAAATGGGTATTAGTCTAAATAAATAAGTCAGAGGACCCAGACTTGGATTCAGGGAAGGAGACCAACAACGGCACACCTAGCCTCCCAACTAGACCATCCAGTTAAAAGACCTGAGCTAATGAAAGCCTTCTGGAAATTTGGAGATGCCTCACCTTTCTAAAACGGAGAGCAACACAGATTACAAGTCTGACAAAGCTAAGAGTTTCCAGATATACAATTTAGGTTTTTCATGATTTCTGATCATTTCAGCTGTTTTACTGTTGAGTGAAACAAAACACAGAGGCTAGTTTTAACCTCATCGTAGCTCACCTAAAAATAACATATTTTAAGCTTGTTTATAAACAAAACAAACTTAATTTCAAAAGGGGTTTATACAGTGTTTCTCATATGCTTGTTGCATTTGATTACTAAGATATGACCAAAGAGTTCTTTAAACGAGTGCTCTTTTGTCTGTTAGCTACGCGCTCCATTGCCTTAACCTCTCAAAACACGTTTTAAAGCATTTACTAATAATAACTCAGACTACATGAAAATTACACTGGTAAAACGTTTACCAATGTTGATGTTAGAAGATGTTATGAAGATATTATACAAGGTTGGAAAGCTTAGATTCCCCACAATTCAACCACATAGTTCATTCTATCGACATAGCGAGCACCAAAGCACAATTAACACAGATATAGCAGCATTTTAAAATGTACCATGACAAAGCAGCCACAACAAACAAGCATGTCTTTATAACTGCTGTTCAAAAAAGACCTAGTATTTTTTAGAATAAAAAAAAATACTTTGTGTCTTGTTTGAACCGATGCAGCTTGGGGTTGATGCAGTTTGTGTGTTTTACTCACCCAATTCTCATGTCTGTTTTCAGAAACTAGAAGGTGTTAGCCTTCAAATAATGCATCATACATATAATTTGGGCTTACAGTTTCTAAATTATTTGCTTTTCCATTTGGGTATGCAAATATGTGAGAATTTCCCAAAATAAGGTGGATATTAAATGAGGTGGTTAAATCTAAATCAACCTACAGTAGCTACAAAACTTTAAAGGTCCCCAATCTTATTCTCCCAGGCACAATCCATTATCCAAATCATTTAATACAATATTATTTTACGAAATTTTTTACCTCTTGGATTTGAATTTAGAATTGGTTTGAACACATTCCAGTTGCTTTAAATAAGTTAAAAACTAATATGATCTCATTCCAAACTCCTTAATAAACTTTGGTTCTCAAACATTAAATCCATACCAAGCTATGACATCATCAACCATTTTACATAGTGGCTTAGATTAGTTGTATTTCACTTGAATTTCACAATGAAATATATTTGACATGGAATTAAAATATTTTTGTTAATAAATTATAATGTTTTGAATATAGGTTGTGGAGAATTTATTCCACACCAGTAGGCGTACTTAATTAATTAATTAAGACAAATTAATTTATTAAAAGTTGTCTTGATCAAAAGTTATTTTATTAGATAACATAAATGTACAACAGCATTTCAATGCATATAAATATCTTGAGGTCCTGGTCACGAGTGATGGCAAAATGGAGAGGGAGATGGATTGATTGATGCACCAGTCTCTTGTGGTGAAAGGGAAACTGAAGCAAAAGGTAAAGCTCTTCATCTACTGATCAGTCTATGTTTCTACCCTCACCTATGTGCACAAAACCTGGTTCATTACAGATGAAAGAACAAGATCCCGGACACTATTCAAAATTAGCCTCCATTGCTGGGCACCCAGACATGGCTTAAGACATGGGGTGAGGAGCTTAGCTATTCGGGAGAGGTTCAGGGTAGAGCTGCTTCTTCTCCACATTGAGAGGAATCAGCTGAGGTGGCTCTGACGGCCCCTGGATGCCTCCCAGAGATGCCTCCCTAGTGGTTGGAGGAGGTGTCTGGGGAGAGGAATGTCTGTGCATCTCTGATTAAACTGCTGTCCCTTCACCCAGTCCCAGATATGCAGAAGACGATGAGTATGAGTACTTTTTTTGGGAAAGTAGCGGAGGCCAGATTTGTGGAATACACAGAGCTATTGTTGTCCTGTTCTGTGAATCTCCATTGAATGTACCTAGGGCCTCTCAGTTGCTCTAACACTGAACTTTATGGATGGAGATCCATATCTCCATAGGTTTGCATTTCTTCCACACTTATTGCATTTTTACATTTTGAATTGAATAGAGCTCTATGAATGCGCAAACCTTCTGTTTATCAACTCTACACTGCTTTACTCTTTATCACTTCTCCCTGATCTGTAGATTTGTTCTTCTGTTTTCATAATATTTTTAAAGCAACGTGTCTATGTACTTATAGTTAGGGTTAGTCTTAGGGTATTTCACACGCAGGGTCATGGGGTCTCCATGAGAGCAAACATTAGATGCTTACTCTGAACAACTGCCTCATTGCAGTGCTATTGCAAAGCGAATGTCAATCCCAACGGGATGAGTGTGTCACTCAAGTGAGAGCTGGAGCTGTGGGCATTTTTTCAGGCTAAAGTCATGTCATATGAGACATTTAATTGGGCCTGAGCCGCCACAGGGGGACAGCGAACAGCATTCCTGCTCTGCCCGCCTGCCTGCAAACCGAGTTTACTCCACTCCGCGTGGCTGCAGTCAGGGATAACACATGCATGCCCAAGCAAACTTAGGCTGCGGGTGACATTAACAGCTGACATGAGCAAGGTGAACATCTTGAATTAAACTTTATAGTAAATAAAATAGAGTTTCAAAAGTACAGGCGTTGTGATAAGACACTAGCTGTGCCATTTTTGCTGATCTGGATTTGCGCATGACTGGTAACGGCTGACATAAGAAGAGAAATCAAGGGAAGACCCAGTCCTTGCCCCCTGAGGACTAACCAAGCTGTTTGGATTTTAAATTTGTAGTAGGCAACTGAATTTTCTGGCTCCATTTGGATCTGCTTCAGGTAAAAATTACTTTTTGGAATGTATTACTTCTTCTAACATCATGCAAATAAAATTATGTGTGTCCATTGCAGTTCAGATATGTCAAACTATGCATTTACAAGCAAAAATAATCAAATTTTGTAGTTTTAGAGGCAAGGCACAATTTTTAGTTTTAAGAGACTTTCAAGAGATTGTTTTTTATAGAAGGTTGTTGGGAAAGAGTGGAGTGAGGAGAGTGGGGTTAAAGGAGACAAATGCCCAGATATAAAAAGCCTGTACCTCCACCGAAAGGGTCATGCAGCACTCATCACCAGTCTCTCAAAGCTCTGTAATTATTTAATCCCTCTGCAACTCTAAATGCATGACGAAACTGGTGGTTCTTTGAGCTGTCGTCTGTTGTATTTATAAGAGCCCCAAGAGCAGTTTTATCACATGCCTTATCAAACATTCTGCACTCACTTTAATTGCAATTTGACACAACACCTGCTGACTTCAGTATTCTTTTTAACTTGCTGATTAAACTTGGATATTTTATGTTGTTGATATATAGTTTACTATTGTGAATTGCATTTGAAATAGTGCATACAATAAAAAAGTGCAAAATAGTTTTTTTTCCCAAAATTGTATTCACTGCTAAAAAAAAAATAAAGGGAACATGAAAACAACATAGTCTAACTTAAATAAAATCAAACTTCTGGGAAATCAAACTGTCCAATTAGGAAGTCCCACTTATTGACAATCAGTTTCACATGCTGTTGTGCAAATGGAATAGACAAGAGGTAGAAATTATTGGCACTTAGCAAGGAACACTCAATAAAGGAGTGGTTCTGCAGGTGTGGACCACAGACCACTGCTCAGTAACCTATGCTTTTTGGTTGATGTTTTTGGTCACTTTTGAATGTTGGTGGTGCTATCACACTTTTGGTACCATAAGACGGACTCTATAACCCACACAAGTGGCTCAGGTGGCGCAGCTCATCCAGGATGGCACATCAATACGAGCTTTAGCAGGAACGTTTGCTTTACTTTTCTGTCAGAGTAATATCCGGATGCTGGAGGAGGATTACCAGGAGACAGGACGGTATACCAGGAGACGTGGAGGAAGCCATAAGAGGGTAACAATCCAGCAACAGGACTGCTACCTCCACCTTTGTGCAAGGAGGAACAGGAGGAGCACTGCCATAGCCCTGCAAAATGACCTCCAGCAGGCCACAATTGTGCATGTGTCTGCACTGATGTTAGAAACAGAGAACCAAATGAGGACAGTATGAGGGGTTTTGCTCCTATCCCAACACTGTGCAGGTAGACAGGCATTTGCCAGAGGACATTAGGATTGGCAAATTCACCTCTAGCATCCAGTGCTCTACACAGATGAAAAGATGTTCCAGCTGAGCACATCTGAGGGATGTGACAGAGTTTGAAGTGGATCTGCTGCATGCAACATCCTTCAGCATGACGGATGTTGCATGCAGTGCATCCGAAATGGTGTGGGGTGGAATTTCTTTGGAGGGTAACACAGCCCTCCATGTGCTTACCAGTGGTCGCATGACTGCCATTAGATATATCCTCAGACCCCTTGTGAGACCATATGCTGGTGCGGTCGGCCCTAGGTTCATCTCAATGCAGGACAATGCTTGACCTCATGTGGATAGAATGTGTCAGCAGATCCTGCAAGATAAAGGCATTGAGGCTATTGTCCGCCTGTCCCCAAGACCTGAATCCTAATGAGCACATCGCCGACATCATGTCTCGATCTATCCACCAACATCATGTTTCACCACAGACTGTCCGTCAGGCTCAGAATAAAGGACCCAGTACTTGAGGTGGACAGACAGATATATCAAAACAGTTATTTAAGACGGAACTACAGTGAAAAGCGTCTAAGCCAGGAACCTCTGCAGGAGGAGACCACAGGTTAGTGACCACATCTATCTGGCAGATGATAATGAACATGTGAGTAATTAACCTGGTTTTATAGTTCCGTCAAAAGGATGAGGTTGGTTCCAGCCAGTGGGCTGCCATCGAGACGTGACAGGCGCTGCCCAGAGAGTCCCAGGCGCTGGTTTCTCAGAGGACAGGCAGGAGATCAGAACCAAGCAGATGAAGGAAGGCAGGGTAATCCAGAGGGCGAAGCTAAAGCCAGTGTCGAAGACATACTTGGTAATAAGGGAACAGTTCCAGGTTCCATTAACTGACAGGCAGAAATATGGCAGGAGCCCAAAGACATGTCAGGCAAAGAGATCAGAATGGGGACAGTCAGGCTCAGAGGTTGAGAGGCAGAACGGGTCAGGATCAGGCAAGCAGAACACTCGGGTAGGCTAGAGAACTCTCACGACAGGCTCCAATAATCACTGGCAATAAGGCACTGAGGACTGTTTTAAAGGCTAAATAGAGGCTGAAGCAGGTGGATCAGATGAGCGGTTAATAGAACTGGGCAGAGATAGGCAGGTGAATGAAATGAGTAATAAGACCAGCCATCTGTGCCAAGATCATGACAATGTTCCAGGAGTTGTCAGATACTTTAGTCTAGGTTTGGGAGGAGATCAGCCACCTCATAAGGTGTAGGAAAGTCATACAGGCACATGGAGGCCGCAAACTATGCTGAGCCTAATTTTGACCTGTTTTAAGGACATGACATCAAAGTTGGATCAGCATTTAGTGTGTTTTTCCACTTTAATTTTGTATGTGACTCCAAATCAACGCCTTCATTTATTAATACATTTGATTTCCATTGATGATTTTTGTGTGATTTTGTTGTCATCACACAACACATTCAACTGTGTACAGAACAAAGTATTCAATGAGAATAGGATGAGATCTAGGATGTGTTAATTGAGCGTTCCGCCTTATTTCTTTGAGCAGAGTATATCCTGATAGTAAAGAACATCAGGACATACAATAACCCAAAGATCAAAGCACATACTAAAATGTTACACAATATAAGAAAAGGCAAATACACATAAAGAATAAAATACAGCAATAAAGGACCACTGATAATTTGTGTTTCTATTTCTATTTTGTCTGCATTTCTAAACAAAACAAGCAAAAATTAAATACTGATGCACGAAAAGGTCCACTCTTCACCTATTAGAATATTTTTGTGGATCCTACCAGATAGGTTTAAAAATTCATTGTCTTTCTCAGATCAATTGATCAGAAAAAAACATGCTACCAGGTTGTCAGCAGAAATATGGTAGCATGCTTAAAATGCTACCAGGTTGCAGGTGTTTATCTGTTATGGTTAATTTTTTTGAAATAATTAGAAAATGTTATGAAATGTTACAGCAAAGGTAAAATATCAATCTTGTTTTATTTATTTATTTTTATCCTTAAATAAGTGCAGCAACTTCATGAACAGTTACACTCTCTTACTCATATAGAATTCCCTTTAAATATAACAATGACTGAAGTTTCTGTGCATTGTATCATTCTCAAAAACTGGAATAGACCAAAGTCAGTATTGGCAGCTCAAAGTCTAACAAAATCCAGAAGTAAACCACAAAATTCTGATCTGTGCATCTCAAAAACTTTCTCCTTCTATGAAGTGTTTTGGATTATGTTAACAGCTCTCTTTTCTCCCTCTACCCCCCAAAGGAATAAATGATCACCTCAACCAGAAGAGTATCTCCTGATAAATCTGAAGTTAGAATAGCCTTCAGCCTTGATGACACATCAGGTAAACACAGATGCACATACAGTACATACTGTCCAGACACAGCCAAATACTGTAACTTAACACACAAATCATTGCCTAAATCTGTGCTCCAGGATCTAAGAATGATTAGAAGCGATTTATTTTGAGGCTTCAAGCTGCACCTATTACCCAGATGATTCATTTAACACCAGATCATGCCTGCGTTGGTTTGCTTTCACTATGCATAGAACATGTGTACAACATTCTTCTAACCAAAACATACCAAGCAGATTGTGGCTTGAGTAACCCCCCCCCCAAACCCACGGCTTTAACTGTGGGTCATTCTTCCACACTGTAACTCAGACAGGTGTTTGTACTATTTAGGACAGACAAAAGCATGTTATAAACAAACACATACTTATGTGCAACACTACACTGGCAAAATGCAAATACATAAGCCACTGTTGTATAGTTTGAAAAAAAGAAAAAGGAAAATAATTCATGCCATTTAAGCTTTTTCAATTTTGGTACATTTTAACCATAATCTTTTATTATTATATTAAAATCTGTTGTAATTTGCCTGTGCATATTCTCAGTCATCTGGGTCCTGGTAACCACAAAATAGGCCTAAATTGGAGGCAGCCCGACTTTCGTGCAGTTTTACAAAAAGATCTAGCAAGCCATCTGAATGACAAAGACTCCTGGGTAGATGTCAAAACATTTTCAGAAAAAATAAAGGGATGTCTGGTTGGCTCTGATTTAAGCCTGTGTTTTGATTGATTTCATTTGATTGATTTCAAATAAGTATGTATAGATTGGAAATGAATACATTTTAAAATAATTTTTATTAGACCTCTCTAACAAATTGATATCTATGCTATGTACAATTCCTTTGTAGTTCCGACTGTATTTTCTTTTGTTACTGTTGTTCTTACTGGAAAGTTAACTTGTGCCCCAGTGTTTGGTCATCTTAACTTGCAATGTTTATGTTACTGTTCTTTCTAAGAACTCACTGCCAGTGCTTGATTGATTGATTGATTGACTGATTGATTGATTGATTGATTGATTGATTGATTATATTGATCTCACAACATTGTGCTTTTTTCTTTTTAAAGAGAAACAACCACACAGCATCATGCTACCATCACCATGCTGGCACCTGCAGATTATGTTTTAGGGTGACCTCGAGAATACTTTCTGTCCCCTATAGTATAAAGTTTTGCATGTGGGATGAAAAATTTAGTTTTTGGCTTAATTTGAAATAGAGACCTTGTTCATGTATTGTGTTCTCTGTATTTCTTACTTTAATGTGATGTCTTTTGCCTGTCCTTCAAGAATGGTATTGTCTTACCATTTATCCAGAAAAGACAGATATTTCAAGTGTGTGACAAATAAATCTCCAGTGAACTGATTTTCTCACCTGAGCTTAAAAACTCTTAAACTCTTTTACACGTCGCTTGGCTGCTTTCCTTAAACCTGACCATTTAGATGGTTGTCCTCTATTGGCAGGTTAGCTTTTAAATTGTGATGCCTTAATTGTAGCAGGATGTGTTCAAAAATACTCTGGGAGAGGATCAACTCTTGGGACATTAAAGACTAACCCTACTTAAAACATCTACGCATTTGTATCCCATGATGCAGTTTTTTCAGTAGTGTTCTTTAACGAACCTCTGAGGCCACCACAGAAGAGCTGTATTTGTACAGAGATTACATTAAACACAAAAAATGTCCACTAATCAAGATACCTCTGAAGGGAACTGTCATAACTGGGTTTTATTAAGGGGAATCAAATGGTTTTTTGTTGTTGTTGTTTTTTTTCCATTTTTAGCCTCTTTAAAATTATGCTCTCCATTCACATCAGTCTATCAAATAGAACTTGTTGTGGATGTAAATATTTGGAGAAAGTCTCAATGATTTTACAGCAAAGTGTAATGTCAGTTTTCTTAATAACTCCATGACTACCACCTGCACACATATATTAAGCTTAAAGAACATACCTCTCAGGTTAGGTGCTGTCTGTCAGGATGTTTTACTGCAGTAGGGTCAGGCACTGGGACAGCAGCTGCAGCCTTGCAATGCCAGAGTCAGGTTTCTCTTATAATACTAACAGTATCTTGGTGCCTGATTCACCGTTCAGCTTTTAGAACCCTGGCCTATATTTATAAGTAGTTAACACTTCCAGCTCAACTCCACCCATCCTTAATCCCTCTCTCCCTGGCCTTTCTTTCTCTTAGGCAGAAATGTGAAGAGGTATACCAGGAACAGTGACTTTAAATTTGTGTCTGAGAGGTCATTTACCGAGCTCATTAAATGAATGTGACTCTCGCAAGGCAATTGTACGAACACTATCAGAGCTACATAAGCACAATCTTACCAGTGGAAATTTTGGATTCTCTAAGATCATGTTATTGTATCTTTGAGCTCATGTTTCACAGTGGGGGAGAGATGAGCATGGCTTCATCTAAGGATCATCGTTTAGACCCTCCATGACTTCATGCCTGACATAGTTCTAACCCAACACTGTGTCAATCCAAAGCATGAGAACCATATTTATTCCACTTCATAATTGGCTGTAGGCTTGCCCACTAATACTCATGCTTTTAAAGGTTGCATCACTCAATGATTCTGCACATGTTCCACAAATCTTGGAAAGGGGATACATCACTACCGAAGCAGAGGAGGGTACAGACAACCTGTCTGATTCTGTCTGGCTTCCTGCCATTCTTAATCTCTGTTTGACTTTACATCTGGCCTGGATGATCATCCAGCCCATAGCTGTACAACAATTGTTCCCTTGTATTCTTAACTTGCATGTCTTTCAGCCTGGCAGCTAACTACCGCTGCTTATTCGGACGACAGGGTTCATTAAGAATTGCAGCATTGTTACTATGTTGTTGTGTTACACAAGAGGCCCTACAGTGTCAATATTTTCCATAAAAAGACAGAGCCCAAGTTCAATAATTTAATGGTGCATGCAGCAAATTGTTTTTTTATAAAATATAGTTTGCTGTGTATTATGTGAATAAATGTAACAGAGGGTGACTGTATACTTAAGATTTGAGTAAGATGTCAGTTTAAAGTTATAAGAAGTACAATATTTTATAACTTTTAATTTTGATTGCTACGGTATCTTTAAACTGGTTTTGTAATTAAAAAAGTTTGAAACTCTCCTTGCTGTATATCTTATGCAGCCAAATTAAATTCCCAATCAATATTCATCAAAAGTTGGTGACTATTAAAGTGAGCTTTGAGTAGTCTATATCCTCTCCCTGTATTCTCTTTGAAATAATGCCAATCATTCTTTAATTGGATCTTTGTTTAAAGGACCAATGTCTAACTGACCTAGAATTTTATTGTATGCACAAAACTACGAAAAAAATCTCCTAAATCAGGAAATAAAACATGATTGGCTCTAAGGAGAGCAGAGGCAGAGAACATTCTGAGTTTACTGAACAACACCTGCTCCTGACCAGGTTAGCTCTAGGGAGAATGTTACTGTGGTAACAAAAACAGAAGTTGAATCTCTTTGTAAAAGGAAAACTCAGAGTTTCCCTGATTTCAGTTTTAAAAAACGTATACTTTTTAGTAAACCTGCTCTATAAAATGGATCCCTGAATAGGTGTTGAAACATCTTTACAAAAAAAACGGAGTGAAATTCCCGTGCTGAGCTTGTTCCTGAACTGAATCTGTTGAATAATGTATTCAGTTCATTGGTTCTGTCCAGACTTCCATCTGTATGATGCTCCTTCTGCTTGAGGCCATTTATGTTCATCATCCCTGATCACAGATATAGTTCTGCTGGATCTAGTTTTCCAGCCTTTTCCTGTAAGCCTACTTGCTTCCTCTTATCTTGAACTTAAGTTGCTTCTGAACACTCCTCATTAATTCCCTGTGTCCCTTCTTAAAGGCCTGTTTTATTCTTGCTGAGCAATTGCTTCAGACCACTTGTAATCCATGTTTTATTATTTGGGAAGCATTCCACTGTTCTGGTAGGGATGGTATTATCTACACCATCTCTACCAGTGCATCCCATTCTGCAGCTTCAAAGCAACCTTGCAGGGCTACTTCAGCTTCATTTGACCATCTCCTTAGTTTTTTTATGCAGGTTGTCTCTTATAAAGTAGCTTATAATCTGAGCAGAGAAAATAAGATTGTGATCTCACTTCTCAAGAGGAGGTCTTACTTAAGAGATGTAGGAATTTCATTCGTTTTGAGAAAACTCTTAAATTTAAACTGTTATAGTCAAATGATTAAGACATAATACTAATCCATTTAGATTGAATGTGCTATTAAGTTTTTATAGGCAAAAATCTTTCTCTATCCTAAAACAGTTTTGTTGATCTGATTGGATTCTGGAATTCTAATCTGTTCTATAAACACTTTACCTAAATATATTATATTGTCCTATAAATCATATAATGACTATATGTGTGTAATTATCTGAAGGTGTGATTCACAGCTTTATAAGCAATATTTTCTAACAGAAGTATGTTTTCTGGTTCTTTAGATATCAAAGATGTGGAGGAACTTTCACAGGTCTTCCCTGACCTTGAACAACGTCTACAGGTATGTGGTTTCGGTGCTGTTCACCAAAAACAAAGAAAGGCACTTTAAAATTTCAAAATGATGTTTTATGGGTTTATAAGAAGTAATAACATTTACTTCTTTTTGTATTATTTTTTCTTTATAAAAATTCACAACTTCATTCTAAACTATTTTCAAAAAATGTTTCTTAACTGCAATATTTTAAATGAATGAAAAGACTCACAGTAATATGTATGCAAAACACAAATGTTGCAATAATTGCAGTGAGTAATCCAAATATTAAACATTTACTTTTAAGGGTTAAAGTCAATGTGAACTTTGTTCAGCCAACAGTTAAATTAAAGCAAGCATACAACAATATAAACATGGAAGTAAAAATTGAACATCAAAATATCAAGTTTGGCCGCTTCACACTCGGCTGCGGTTCGCAGCCGAGTGTGAAGCGGCCGGGATCAGCTCCTCCAAATCCGAGGCCATGGTTCTCGACCAGAAAAAGGTGGCTTGTCCCCTTCTGGTTGGAGGAGAGTCCCTGCCTCAAGTGGAGGAGTTCAAGTATCTTGGGGTCCTGTTCACGAGTGAGGGAAGAATGGAGACGGATCGGTGCGGCAGCCGCTCTCTCTTCTCATGGTGAAGAGAGAGCTGAGCGAAAACGCAAAGCTCTCAATTTACCGGTCGGTCTACGTTCCTACCCTCACCTATGGTCATGAAATCTGGATCATGACCGAAAGAACGAGATCCCGGTTACAAGCGGCTGAAATGAGCTTTCTCCGCAGGGTGGCTGGGCTCTCCCTTAGAGATAGGGTGAGGAGCTCGGTCATTCGGGAGAGGCTCAGTGTAGAGCCGGTTCTCCTCCACATCGAGAGGAGTCAGTGAGGTGGCTCAGACATCTTCTTCGGATGCCCCCTGGATGCCTCCCTCAGCGTTCCAGGCATGTCCCACCGGGAGGAGGCCCAGGGGACGACCCAGGACACGCTGGAGAGACTATGTCTCCCGACTGGCCTGGGAGCACCTAGGGCTTCCCCCAACAGAGCTGGAGGAGGTGTCAGCGGAGAGGGAAGTCTGGGAGTCTCTGCTTAGTCTGCTGCCCCCGCGACCCGGTTCCGGATAAAGCGGGAGACGACAAGGATGAGGAAAAAATCAAGTTTGCCAAGCTGAAAGCAGCAAAAAAAGTTTTTTAAACTTGGTGATCATCCTAAATTAAGATAGATGGGAAAAGGACCCCTCTAAAAACAGTCAGGATAATATCAGGCCTCCTTAGAGATCTGGCCTTGTAGAGGCCACTAAGATCATTCCTTGTTATACCAGCAATTTTACTGGATATTTTTATAGTTCCCTGTAGTAATTCTTGCTTTAAATTGAAAGAGATGCAAACCTATAGTAAATAAAAAAATTTAACAACAGATTCAATAAAACAAGAATAAAACATCCCAATAAAAACTGAACAGACATTAAAGTGTGACGCTTTCAATCTGTTATGACTTTTTTTGCCACTGACTCCACCTATGGCTAAACTCTCATGCCGTGGGACCAGATCAACAGTTTGATTACAAATTTTCAATCGGGATTATATGCTTTTTCTAAAGTTGTGCACATTTTTTCCCACGGTGATACTTCAAAGTTCATCAGCACCACGCTATCTATTGTTAATGACAGAGTTATCTACAAATTTGATAACGTGGTATCAAGTGTAATGGCTCTGGCAGTCATTTGTATATAAAACAAATAAAAAAACACAACCCAGTGGGGTTGTAGCATAAGAGAGAGGGAGGGTTTAGATAAAGCAACATTTACTCTGACCCTGCCAGGTTTGGTGGAAGTTAGTTGAGGGCACAAATGCAGTGATGAGGCCTTGCAGATTTAATTTAAATGCAGATGACAACAGAAGCACAAATACAGGAACAATATAAGAGAAACCAAAACCAGTAGACACCAGAGGGAAACATACATTACTAAGAGCGAAGCAATGAAGAGAAACCTGCAATGAGGAACTGCACAGGAGTCGTATATAGGGTGAGAGAACAAGGAATGGGCTAATGAGCTGATATGGAGATGTGGATAGAAGGGCTAGGGGAAAGGAGACAAGGCACAAGGGGGCAACAGAGAGTAATTTTTAAAAAATACAACACTGCTTAGACATAACACAAAATGAAAAAAAAAAATCAATGGCCAACAAAACATAGAATGACATAAATCAGAGTGTAACTGAAAACTCAAAAATAAACTCAAACAGAAGTCTGAAAAGGGCAGAATCATGACAGTATGGTGAAACTGCTTCTGTTTGTATGTTCAGCTTGAACCTGAGGGTTGGTTTTCTTTACATATACTGAGCAACAAAAAAAATGTTTTTTTTGCTTTCATATTTCTTTTGTGTTGCAGCCTGTGCCGCCTTGCATGTCCCTTCGAGAGAGTGTTCAGGTGTACAAAGAGCACTGCAGGATGGCCAGAGAGTTTCACCACGTGAAACATGAGATCTCTGTCCTTGAGGAACGCAAGTAAGGCTTTGTAGAAAAAACATATAAAAAAATATGCTCAAATTATTTCAGTCTCCTATTTATGTTCAATATTCTTGGTACCGCTCTTTATCCCCTGAGCAAGACCCATTTTCCTAGATTTCTCCCATGGGAGCTCCAAGCTGCCGACTGCTTCCTATGGGATGGTTTAATGGCAGAACTCAAATTTTATTGTAATATACATTTGCATTGACAATTAAAGTTGAATGACCTAAAGTTGAATGAAAGATTTTTCCTGAAAGCACAAAAGGACAACATGGTTTGATAGAGTTTCTTAACCCTATAATGCCAAATGTATCGTATTTGACACATACAGTTTCTGAAATGTTTTGCATCTGACACCTTTTGCATAATTTAATGGTTAAAACTTTGCTCAAAATCCTATTGTACACAATCAGATATACCTGATAAAAGCCAGTAGAAGACTACACAAAAAATAATCTTGACTTATCGCATAGCAATAAATTATTAATATCAAAAATGTATTTCTGTTTTTTTCTTTTTACATATTTTGTTAAAAGGCCAAATAAGGACTTCAAACCCAAAAAAAGTATTTTTCTGTTTTGTTTTATTCTTGGATCAGGCTTTAAAGGGTTAATATCTTCTTTACCAAAGGCAGCACCTTGCGTTTAAAGGGTATTAAGGGGTTCTTAACTGGAGGGATGTCTGTCTGATTCATAGTTTCTCGACTGGGAAATACTGGGCCTTACACCAATTCACCATTCCTAGATAAAGAACGCCATAAAGACTGACCATAGATAAGATTAGACATGATGAGTCATGTTGCTACACTTGCATTTGTTCATGTTGCCATGGTTACCTATCCCCACAGGAAAAAAAAAACAATTAGATTATCTAAAACATAGACAACATATAAAAGAACCATGCAATATAAAAGTGCTTTTTAAATGATGTATCTTTAAACACTTTGGGGGGAAAAAATTTATTTCAGAGTTGAAGATGTGAAAAGAATTGCATTTTGCAATACTGAGTGATGCAAGACTGGCAACAGGAGTGACATCAAAACATTGACAAGATCATTTCCTACAGGCTTTGCTGCTCTTTGTCTGTATGCAAGCAAAAAAGCACACATGTAACTACAACTGTTCATCTTATATTTTACCAAATTAAGTACAACAAAAGGAAACACAATAAATTGATAACCCCAGTTGATAATGACATAGTAACTATTGGGAAATAGTTCCTGCAAAAAAAAAAATCTTTGGAGTATTTTTTAGCGTTAGGATATGTTACGATGGTAAACAAATGTAATGTAATCATTTTAAAAGTTCCGTGTCTGAATGTGCTTTGGAAAAATTCCTTCTTCCTCTTTTTGGCCGCACTCTGCGACAAAAATAAACACTCACTCACATACACCCACATGCATGCACACATGGTGTTATACTTACTTCCATGTTCAGAAAAACAAATAATGCCGCGTGAAAGTTGTCGTCTTTGAGTAATATTATGTTTTGTTGGAAGTAAAACATATGAGGTAAAAAAAAAATAAACATCATTTCATTTGCAGGTGAAAGTGAAGACGGAATTTCCCAATATAAGCTAGATCACCACCAAAACCAAATGTACAAACAATAAATAAATGAAGAGTTGCCAGTGAAAACAATATTAATGATTTTTTTTTTTTTTTTGGGGGGGGGGGGGGGGGGGGGGGGGGGGGACACATACAGTCATATTTAGAGAGTTGTGATAATATTGAAAAACGTGTTTATTTCAATTTATGAAGTTAATACACATTAAATAGGTTAATTACACACAGAATAATGTATTGAAGCCTTTGTGTGTTAAATCTAATAATTTTCAGCTCACCACTAATATGATATTTTAGTTTATAATAATACATGAGACCAATAACAAATTTGAAATGTGGGTTTATGAAAATTTCGGCTTAATGAAAGTTACTTTCATATCTGCTTTTCAAGAAGTAGATATAATCTGACAAAAATGTCTAATCACAATGAGTATTCCAATTCACTGACTATATCACTAGTTACGTCAACTTTTGACATGATACGTTATGGCGATTATCATATCCGCTGTAATTTTAGTGGTTACAGAAGATTGTCCTGTATTTATTTGTCATTTATGTCACATATCTTTATGTTTTCTTTTTACCAAAAGGGCACACGTTTCTGACACGTTGTGTGTTTAGGCTGGTATAAATGTCACCATGGTGAATGTGCTCCATAGTTCAATTTTAGGAAGCTGCAGAAATAAAGGAAGGAAATGATACAACAGCATTGCTTTCCTATGCATGTGATACTTTAGCATTCACAATTTGATCACTAACATTAAAAAAAACATTAAAATATCATCATCAAAAACCTGTTTGTACTTAGTTGCAAACAGAAACATGACTGAGCTCCATGCAGATAGTGTCTTACTTTTTTCCCTAGATGTGTATCCAAATAGGATTATTCAAGGACTTAGAGGCAAGCTATAAGAGTTACTGTCAGTACGAAATCCAGTGTGACTGAAGCCCAAGAAACTATTGGTTGACACATGTGTTGATAAAAGCTTTTACGTTTAGGGAACTAGGCATTCATGTGCTTTTAGGCTCCTCAAAAAGCAGACAGACAGAGTATGGGCAGAGGGACAGAAGTTGGCTAAGCTACTTTTGTTCAAGCATTTAAGTGTCATGTTTGATAAAGATAGTAAAATTAGCTGAAAATGGTTAGATTTACAAGGACCTTGTCCGCAGTACTGTTGGAATTATTCTATGCAGCAGACAAAAAGGGAAACTCTAAATTTACAATTCTGTGCATGTTCTAATTCTCACATGTTGTCACTTATGACCAAAAAAGCCCTGACATAAGTGACAAAAATAATAATGAAATGAAACATATAAGCTCAGTTAGCTGAGGCTTATGATCAGGGGGCTCTCTTAACCCTTCTGTCTATGAAGTTTCCTTTTTCATTGACTATGACCAAAATACAACATAGTGTTGCTGGGTGGTGGAATGTGTAGGTTTCCTATCTGAGTTACATTGACGCCTTGATTCTAAAAGCAGAGAAGATGACTGATGGAAATATCTAACAAGGGCAAGTGTATGTAAATTAATTGGCTGTCATTTTTGTCATTAATGAATCTACTAGCAGTATTTTTAGGGAAGTGCTAATAGGATAGGAAACACAAACAACTGACCGGAACATCCCGAGTAAAGTTAAGAGATGCTAAATTAAGAATTTTTGATATTTTTTAAGATAGAAAAAGAGACAATATCAAATAAGTTGGAATGAAATAGTATAAATTATTTCCTATTTGTTTGAATAATATCTATCCATAAAGATCATGGTTTGTTTTATTCACAAAATGATATTGTCTACAAAATATTTTATTTTCTTATCCAACAGTATAGTGGATAAATTGATGGATCAGCCAAATATCAGTGCATTCAATCAATTGCAACTCACTGAATAACAGATATTTCACGTATTTGTCCTGCAAATCTTATAAATATGGATCTTATTACATGATCCAGCATATTTCATTATTTTACTAGGTTTTTTGGATGTGTGTTATGGCTATTGTGTTTCTTTTGTGGCTTTTCTTTTTATGTTGTGGCTTTTGTTTCGGTCTTGTGGCTAATGTTTTTAACTTGACACCTCTGGGCCACCATACAACACAGATTAGTTCTGTGTATTTTGACCTACATGTATTATAAGAAAACTGTCATTTTTTCCCCACATATCAAAGGATACTTTAGGATAGACCATGGAAAACCAAAAAAATAAGATTTATCTTTCAAATTTTTTTCAGGCGCAAGCTGCTTGCGGAGCTAGTGGAGGATGAGAAAGTTGCTGAAGAGATCGCCCGTCTTGAGGAGGAATTTAAGCGATTGACAGAGGAGAACCGCAGCTTGGTGACCCTCCACAGTGAGCGCAGACAGCAGCTAGAGAGGCTTTGCCTTGCCAATCGAACTAGGCAAGACTCCTCTTGACCCCTGACTTCCAAGAGCCTGAGTCTTTCAGACTTTCAGCTGATACTAGACCAGCGACCGGACTGTTTTCATGCACAGTCTTTGAATTGTATGATTACACAGACATGACCTGTTTCTGTGGATGATCTAAGTCATTGGTGTGAATCGCAGATGTAAGCTTGTCATCACTGAGAAGTTGTTAGAATGATTCTAGTAGGCAATGACAGAATTTTAGGGTTTTAATGTAAGTTTGCTAAACCATGCTGGTCATTATTGAAAACCTAACAGTGAACAGCACATTACAAAAGTATTAACATCATGCAATCTTTTTCTAATTTCATCAAATTACAACGACAAATTTCAAATAGCCATGAATAATATGCAAGTTTCCAGCTAGTTTGAGCTGTCAACTAATCACTAAATGGATGTGAATGTATGTAATATGTATTTTTTATCAGCCTCTAGTCGTCAATAGTTCCCTGCAATTGAATTGTAAGTCATTGGGTTGTGCACCGCCATCTTTGCACATATAGTAATTTGCTCCAAACCATTCACTGGATTAGATGAAGAGCATCTGTGGACAAAAGTTTTAAAATCTTGCCACAGATTTTTAGTGGGATTTAGTTTTGGACTTTGACTTGCTTATAATGTACTAAAACATGCCATGCTTTTATCAAAACCATGAAGGAGGGTGAAACTCTGCCCCAATCATTTGGATCTGCTTAAATAATTTTTTATTGATTTTTTTTTTTTCCTTCTTTTTTTTTTATAGTCTGCAGATTTTAGCTTAATTCATTACCCAACCTATCCCATTCTCCCTGTTTTTAATAATTTACCAAAACATATTCCCACCACCTTGTTTCACAGTGGAAATTGTGTTTCCTTGCGACTTTAGACAAACTTCAAAGAAAACATCTCCTATAAACAGAAATAACCCAGCTGTGCTTTGAATCTTTCCTTAGCTTCATTACTGATCTGTCTGGCCTGTTACTTTATCTTTATGATGAAGTTACACACATGGAAACTATATTTACTAATCAGGAAGCTTTGAAGGTCATTAAATAAATTGGGGTTTTTATGGAATCGGAGTAAAAATTAAGTATAACAGGTCACACTTTCCCGTTTTAATATTCAAAATAGTCTAAAGCAATACATCATTGTTCTTCCTCTATACAAGTATGTGCTACTTTTAGTGTATTTAACATGTAAAAAACCCTAATAAAAAGAAGTTTGTTTCAGTAAAATGACAAAGAAAAAAAGTCAAAGTTAACTGCTCGTTTAAAAAGTACATACTGTACCTTAATGAACAGTTCTTTCAGTGACGGAGAACTGATATTTTTCACCATTGTCAGGTTTTGTAGAACCATAGATACTGGAGAGAGCTAAAAAAAAGGTGGGATATGTTCTAGATGCTGATTCAAAGAGTGTTTAAAACTTTGTCAGGTATCTACAATAAATACAAACCCTTGGAAGCAAGGGTACAAATGAACAATGATCAATTTTGTTGTATCTTTTGTCTGAGTTGAATTTAGTTCAGTGGTTATCCTGTAGATGGAGAAATAACATGAACTGTTGCTTTATACTCTCCTCTGACAACGAAAAAGCCTTTTATTGTAATAAAGCATCACTTCCTTAGTTTCATTTCTCCAAGCCAGCACCATTGTGTTATCTCCTCATTTTCAGCCTTACAAAGAAAAAGGAAGAAGATTTATTTATTCTTATGACAAATGACTTTATTCTGGAATTATGCAACACCCATCTGATTGGCTAGCTTGACAGTGGCTGGCTTCCTTCTTCTTTCAAATCATGTGACATTACCAACTTCATTTAGTAAGAAGGATTGAAACATTTGCTGTGTAGCACCCATAGGAGTTGACTTTCTCAAAACATAGAAGTTCAGAGGACATCACATATAAAGTTTTGGACATGTGCATCACCATTTTATAAATAGTTCTTAAACAAAAAGATGTATGCAAAAAAAAAAAAACACATGTTGCACAAAGTGACAAAAATAATGACCTTCTCATGTATCATTAGTTCAGGAAATCCATTGCAGAGCTTTGAAAAGGTGTTTGAGCTCTAACAGTTTTAACCTAATTTTGCTTTATTAAGAACAATGAATTCTTTTAAAATGTATAAAAAGAATAAGCTTAACCGGAGCAATGCAAAACCCGCCCCCCCCCCCACCCCCCGTTAATTTATGAATGAAATAATACTTCTTAACAACAGTTTTCCAAGGAAGTCTTTCATGTCAACAACCACACCCATGTCTGAGAACTAAAATGAAACCAGTTGAATAGCTTTATCTTAAGAGTTTCACTTAGAGATCATTATATCTATCAGTCGGGAAAACTGTTTCTCAACTCAACTAAACTACAGTTGAAGGTATTATCCACAAGAAAACAATAAACACATAAGAGTGCTGAACTTTTACACTTCCAGAAATGGCTGCCAAAATTATTCCCAAGAGACATCAGGAGGTTGATCAGATGACACAGAACAATGTTTAAACCTCTAAAAAAAACATACCAATCCAACATCAACAAAATTCCAATTTGGAGAGAACTAATCTGATTCTAGATAGCTCGGAAATTCTCCAGTTTTGGTAGACATCAACTTTGCAAAGAGTTAGCCACAATTTCATGGCAGCAATGAGAAAGATTCATTGTTAACTAAGGCATATTTTGTTATAAAGAGTGCCACAACCAGTTACTAGGTGCAAGAGGCAAATATTTCTTCATATTGGTTCATTTGAATAGCTATAAAAACTGTATTTCGTGTTTTCCCAGGTTATCTTTATCTTATAATAAGATATGTTTAGGCAAATAACAAAAAATAAAGAAGGATAAATCTATATAGAGGGGAATGCCTTTTGTATCTAGCTGTGTTACCCGGTGGAAATCAGTGTCTATTCTGTTTTTTTTGATGTACAGTATATCCTCAAAATGATCTGCTTGGTATAAGTTAATCATCTTTAAACACAGAGTTTGTTCTCTCCCTTCTCCATAGACTCTTTTGTTGTGCTCAGGGTGGATTTCCTAAGTAAAGTCTGTTAGTTCACCAGACTGCCCCAATGAGGTAAAATGTGCTTGCTCATCCTTTATCAGAAGGAGTGCATGAGTCAGCTCTGCTTTGTTACACCCATGGTGGTTGCAACACACTTACAAACACGCAAACACACACACACACACACACACACACACACACACATACACACACTCCCTGTATTTCTCCCTCCCTCTTATATACGCACTCACAGGCCATATGACTGAGTCAAGTTCAGTTTTTAGTTTGTAGCTGAGCTGTGATAAGGCATTCTGGGAAACAGCCTGGTTGGACGGCATTCCATTTACCAAAATCCATGTCTGCAAGGCTGCTGGAACTTTCTTTAACACCTTAGAGAGTTGAAGAAAGCCAGCTTTCTAAGGTAAGAACGTTTCTTATTTAACTCTTCTGTTAATTAATAGCTTATTTTTTAGTCATGTGTAAGGGGCTTACCTGTGTTTTTTATGTGTTTTGTGTACACACAGATGTCTGTGATGGCTGAGACTACCCCATGGTCGTCTGTGTTTACATTTGAGTCCACAGTGCATTCCTCCCAGGTGCTGCACCGTCTGAATGAACAGCGCTGCCGGGACATGTTGTGTGATGTGACGGTGCTGGTGGAGGGTCAGAGTTTTGGAGCCCACCGCTCTGTGCTCGCTTCCTGTAGCGAGTACTTCTTGCAAAAGATCTCTTTCCTCTCCCAACATGGAGCAGTGATTACTTTACCAGAAGAGGTGAGAAGCCAACTCTGAATGTCATATTGCAAAAAAAAGAAAGAAAAGGCTGTACCTAAAACTATGTAGGCTGACAAAACCACAAATCTTTTAAAAATAAAAGTGAGACACATAGCCAAAGCCTTTATTTCCTTAAGAGCCAATGCTTTTTTTTTATGCTGATGAGTCATGAACAGTCAGCTTGTAAAACAAAACCAACCTTAACGTAGAAGAGCAACTTTGTAGTTAACAATCAATAATTGCGTTCAGGTGTATTTTAAACATTGCCAGTGTTTTTTGTTCATGTTGTGGATTATATAGAAAAAATATGCTTAATTTAATCATGGAATTCATAGTTTTTTTTGCAAATTGAAAACATTAACAATTAGAGTTTACTATTATAATCTATGATTAAACAATAGACAGCTGGAGATAGGCACCACCACCCATTGCGAAAATGGATGTATTGATGATCATCTGATGTGCAAATTAGAATGATTTCTCAGTTATTTACACAGAAAAGGACAGGATAAGACGTTTCCAAGGACATATAATTTATTCTCAAATGTAAGATAAAATGTGTGTCTATAAACTGTATCTCCTTTAATTTGTATTTCTTGTTCCTGCCTAAGTAAATGAAGAATACTGAAAAGAGGTTCTTCTGAAAACATGCTGTTAATATCCCTACAGGTGATAATCTCTCCCTTATCCCCCTTAGTTGGACCTGGAGGCTAATGCTAACAGCTAGTCCAAGAAGGGCTGAGGCCAGAACAGACCACTGTCTGCTAATGATTAATTTCAGATAGAATGGAGCTACATTCATGTTGAAAACAAGGATATCCTGAGAAATATTTTTGTTCTGTAAAATGAATTCTTCACCTTTAACATATATTTTTTTAAGTACATCTGTGGAAAATGAGAATTGATTGTCATGTATATATCGAAAGTTTATTTTACTTAGTAAAAGGTAATATCAACAAACTTTATTTTTTTTTAGCTTAGAAGAACTTTAGGTAACCCACCTACCCCCTTTGGTTGAAATTATATCAGCGAGAAGCTCAATGTAAGCATCTACCTGTCCCTGATATCAGACTGGCTAAAGTTTGCATTATTATTCTCCAGTAGACGTCATCGCTAGGACATTTAAAAAAGCATTGTGTTTTGAATTTTTTTTCGCCAAAGACTTTGTTTTTCTTGGATTGGCTGAAAATATTTTGTGGAATTACTGTGTGGTTCTGCTTCAGCTTTATTTAATTCAAATAGTTACAATCTTCCCTTAAGCACCTTGATAATAGTTGGGATTCTTAATAGAGTCTATAAAGATGGGCTGTTCAGGTCCTGCTGCTACAAACCGAGACCCTTTCAGCTCTGTCTCTTTTGTTTAGCTGGAATGCTGTATATGTCTTACGTGAAACCTAAACTGTTCTGAATCCTGATATTTCAAGATATTGAATTACTTAGAAACCTTTTTAAATCTCTATTCAGGCTCACAAAACCCATAAAACCAACTCCTCTTTCTAAAGGTTTCATATCATGTGATGTATAAGGCTTGTTTCAAAGCTTTATATCGCAAAATCAAATCATATTGTTAACCATAGAGTTATGTGAAACAGATGTCATGGAGCTATGTGTCGCATATTTTTTTAAGTGGAAGTAAACATTATTGTTATTAATGTTATTCCTCACCAGAAATGGTGTATTGAATATGTTTTATAGAGGTATTTCCTTAAGCTTTTACTGTTTATTTATACACCATTTATTTCACTAGTATTGCTAACATCTTTTGAAAATATCAGTTTACCCAAACATAAGTACCTGCACTCCTACTGATTATCCTGCAGAAACTTAGGTGAGAATGGAAAATATAAAGAGTGTCCAGTCAAGTAAAAAACTAATATCATATTTCATCAGCATGAAAATAACTTTAGGTTAAAACTCTATAATAAGTTGCCTCTTTGGTTTCTTATCACAAAGTTACTTTGCCAGAAAATGCTTTACATGACTCTCATCAAGTGTTATAAACAGGTTGATTATTTTTATTGAGCTGCTTCCTTTTTTTCTTATTCAAGCCTAAATGACAAATGGCTTCTGTGTCATAAAATTCCCAATGCACATGTGAGGAAAGTTTACAAGTTTATAAAACAGCAATCATTCATAAATCACAGTTTTTAGGAGTGACGTGATTTTACACTGTTTAATTTTACCCTGCTTTTCATTCTTCTGAGGTGGATTTTACTTTTAGTCTTTAACTTCTATTTATGGTAATTCAACTAGGCTAGGTAATTTAACTACTGTGCGACACATATTAAGTTGTTATGTGCTTTGAACCGAGCCTTACAGTAAAACTCCTAAGTTAATATTAATAGGTAATGATTTACTCCTTTAATTGAGAAATAGTTTAAGGTAAGCCATAACAAATCTTGTGATGTAGTTAAACAAAAACAACTAATAAAGTCTAAAATGAAAAGTAATACGGGTCAAAAACAAAATAATATGTAACCCTTATTTACACTGCAATCTCTCACTGTTACTATATCCCAAAAAACGCTGTTATTTGATTATCTATTATCTTTAACAGGTGACAGTGGATGGATTTGAACCATTGCTGAAGTTTGCCTACACATCCAAACTCAACTTTGGAAAAGAGAATGTTTTAGAAATACGAAACTCTGCCTCGATTCTTGGCTTCAAGGACCTGGATGAGGCATGTTTTGATTTCCTCCTACCAAAGTTCTTCTCAAGACGCAAAGGCTCTGCACCCATTGTGAAAAAGACCTGTTGTTCCAAGGAATGTAAGAGGCGATTATCAAAGGAAAATTGTGGCACAGACTCTGACGATGTGCTGTTGGATGACAAAGAAGTAAAACCAGTCGCTGACTCACCACCCAATCAGGACATGACATGGGACTGTGAAAAATCAGTGAGCATAAAAACGGGAAGTCAAAATAGCACAGACAGTTTTGGCTCTGTAGCCGAAGGGTTAATTGACCCAGTCATACAAGGTCCAAAGTATCGCAAGTTCCAGTTAGCTTGTGAGAAAGAATTGTTTGCCAGTGAAAAATGTCCCTTGACTCCTGCGTCTGCAGGGATAAGGGGTGACTGTGTCCCCTCCTGCTTTCCGTGCCCCAACAAGACACACTGTAAAAGGGAAACTGTGGTTAATTTCACTGGAAATCCAACCTCCAACCTTGCCATAGAGAGCAAAGTTGAAGCAGAGCAGTTATGTGAAACTGAAAAGCACAATTTGAAATCAGAGAACTATGGGAGCAAAGTCGTAATCGATACTTCTAAAGAAGACAGATTTAAACAGGAAGGAAAGCAGGGATCCAAGGGAGAGAAGAACATTTGGTCAAATGAAGAAGAGATGGAATATACATCAGAAATTATCTCATCAGTGATACCAACAGTCAAGACACACTCCCAAAAGCCAAGCACAGTCCTCTGTGAGGGATTATCAGGGACCTTTTGCCCCTTGAGGTGCTTCGATGTAGATTCCACAATCTCTCAGTCAATGGGGCATAAAATGCACGTTGTCAGCATTACAGAAAGTAAAACATCAAGAGACCATGGTTCAGTAAAGACATGCTCCACTTACCAAAATGCAACATTAGAAGATCAGGAAAAAAACACAGATGATGCTAGTCAACTAGGAAGAATAGATCTACCAACAGCAAACACAAATAGAGCTGCCATCCTTCAAGAAAACTGTAGAGAAAGAAGCACACTGAAGACAGAGAGTAAAAATCACCATAGTGAGCGATCAAAGATAAGTAAAGACACCTACCAGCAAAATATCCTTGACTGTAAAGCAGGATGTTCAACCGATGCATATGGTGGATGGGGGCAGAGCTCATCTTTAGAGTGGTCAACTCCTCAGAACAACCTTGGTTCCACCAAAACTGGGTGCCCATTTTATATGGATTATGACCAAATGAACTGTGGAATATCTGAGTATGAGGGGACACCTCCATCATGTGTGTCGTCGGTAAACTCAGGGGAAGACGGTGATTCAGAGGCGGAAACAGAGGGAGACAGCGAGTTCTCCACAAATGAGAGGGCCCTACAGGTAACAGCCAAGTTTCAATGTATTTATTATTGTATGCTATAGACCAGGGGTCTCCAAAACTGGTCCTTAAGATCTACTGTCCTTCAGATTGTAGATGCATCCATGCTTCAACAGCTTAATAAAATAACTGATTACCACTTCAGCAAGCCATCAACTTTGGCAAAGGCCTGTTAAACGACATTCATTTGACTAAAAAAGATAAGTAATGAGTAAAAAAAAGGCATTCTCTCAGCATGTGGTTGACACCAATATATTTTAGAATGGTGTGGGCAGAGCCTATTGCAAGGGCATATGGTGCATTAAAACAGATTTCTTTCTGTAAAACCTACTAAAAATAAATCTACCATTTCCCATTTTGAGTTGTGCATTACTTTGTACTGTTTTCTAGAATAAATTGCCAATATAAAAACAAAAAGTTTAACTTCGACACACACAGATTTTTATATAAATAGAATCACCAGGGTCTGCTTCCTGTATGTATGACACTGTGTTTCTTTTAGATAAGAGGGTCAGGTTTGCTTTATCAGTGACAAATACGCATCTGCATTCATGTAAGGCAGATAAGCTACAGTGTTAATTATTCACCCAGTAGAGGAGATGTATGTGTGTGCTTGAGCAGGCGCTCTGGTTCAGAGTCCAACACGGCAAAAATTCACAGCTCACCCTTTTTAGTTAGCATTTACCAGAGGTCATACCATATAACTTTCTTATGTCACTGTAAAGATAGGATGAGAAGTAAAAATAAGGAGTCAGCAGGAAAAACTGAGTTCTTTCCATTGGTAAGGTTTTTAGTTTCCTTACCCAGGATAAATCTGCAAGCATAAAGCATTAGATTTATAATGCTAAATGAATCTGGTGTGCACACATTTCCGGGTTCATGCTTACAGCAGCAGATTACGGTTAATATTTACCAGCTTGGGAAAAATATAACTATGCAAACTTAATTTCCCATTCTTCTTTCCAGTGAATATGTGTTAAATATAGCACTAAAAAACATGAATGTCTTTGAAGATGCTCCTTTAACTGTGTGCTTTTTTATCTGCCATGCAACCTCTGATTGCATAACCTTTACATCAACTGTGGTTTCCACAGGTGCAGTTGCCATTCTCTGTGGACTGGATTGTGAATCTGAACCGTAATGACTTTCAACATCTGCTGAAGCAACATACTCTTACCCAAGAACAACTGGAGTTTGTCCATGATGTTAGAAGGCGCAGCAAAAACCGCCTTGCAGCTCAGCGTTGCCGTAAAAGAAAGCTGGACTGCATATATAATCTACAGTGTGAAATAAATAAGCTGGTAAGATAATTTGTTTAGAGGGAACATTTCCAGAGGTTTGTAAACCAGGCTTTGCTTACTACATGTGCTTTTTTTTTAACAGAAGACAGAAAGAGAGAAATTAATCATGGAAAGGAACCAGCTGACCCAGAGGAAAACGGAAACATGTCACACTGTAAGCACCTTGTGTCAGAAGGTCTGCAGCGAAGCCAACCTACTACCAGAGCAGCTCCAGGTGTTAGCCAGCTGTGCCTCTTTAGACTGCCCACTGTCCTCCTTGCTTCCTCAAATAGATGCACTTCTGTCACAACATGGATATCCACTTCATCCCCGGAATGCAGCATCTTAGGATTATACATCCATCTCAGCACAGATACAGACACAAGACAACTTTAACTCTATATAGAAACTGCAAAGATGCTAAAGCCAACTTACAGTGCGCTGATTATGATGACCATTTAAGGGCATCATTCTTATACAAGGACTTTATCAAGTATCAAAGTACAAAAACATTTGGTGATTCTATTTCACAAGGGCAACCAGACATATCAGATTGTGTGAACTGCAGGTTCTTTACAGTATTTGTATTATCTTGTATCATACATTGTGAGTTATTATATTTACATTTTTGAGTCTACTTTAGGTTTTATAGCATTACACACAAGCAGCTTTTTCCTATCAGCAATACAAATGATTGCCTTTCGTGCAATTCTGTCAGGGAGTAGAAAAAGTGCCTTTTTCTTTTTATCTACATGTCGGTACATTAGAAACTATGTGCTCACCTGGAACACATAGTCCAAGAACTGTAGAAATATGACTTTACACTGCAGCTTATGATGCTGATGTTTATCAAAATCCTCATTAAGCACTGAGCATGAGGGCTAATTCACTTTTTCAGAAATCTAGGATTCATTTTCTATCTCTACTTCAAAATCCATAATAGATGCAGTTTTGGATTTATAAAACTTTTTTTCATTTGAAGATGGGAATTTCATATACCTCATTAGCATTAACTTGAAGCTTAGATCTAAAAAAGCACTAAAACATATAGTTTAAATATTGGACATAGATGTTTATATTTATAACAGATAATTTCAATTTGATGCAGAAAAGGAAAGGAAGGCGGGGGTTGCTCAAGGTACTATTTGTAACCACTGGCCTTGTAAAAAGCAAAATAACATAGATAAAGAGATTAAATCATCTCAGTGTGCATTAAATGCTCGTTTTTACATCATATTTTTTTCATACCTTTTCTCTCAAAAGCAAGTCTCTATTTCAATATTTTAAAGTGATGAATAATTAATCAAACGTTCATTTGTTCCTCTTATTTTCTATCTATCCCTTGTGTGCTTAAGATAGAAACAAATACCAAATAACTCTGGGATGAACACCTCTCCCCTCCAACAATATGGAGGCCATCATGGTATAAAATGGCTTCCACAACCTCCTTACCTTTTTGTGAAGTGATGATGATTACATTAGATCACAGCATCAAATCCATACATTTTTCAGCACTGTTGCCTAAAGTACGTTGATAATTATAAACAATTTAGGAGATGAGAAGGCATCATGAATTGACCAGGGTTTTAGTGAATGAGGCCACAAAGGCAAGCTTTTTAAATCAAAAAGGAGGAAAGAGAAAATAATGTTGACAAAGGATCAAACATGAATGCTTTATCTTAATAGGTTGAGAATGGCTTTTTAAAAACCTGTTTTAATTTAGCCTTGGTAGGACTGTTTCATATCCTACCTCCAGCACAGTAACGGACCAGCTGATGCTTTCTCTCTTCCTGCTCTGGCCGCACGCTCCTCAGATCCTCTAGCCTTGGCCTGTCATTGTCTCTTCCTGCTTTGTCGCCCTGGCGGGCTCCTACAATGTCACACTGTCCTCCTCACGGTAAGCCAGATGCCTCCACTGTCTTCAGATTTCTGTCTGCCTGGCCCACTAATACGATAATCCCGGCAGGCCTCTCAGAGCTGCCCTGTGCTCCTCAGCTCTCTTCCTGAGCTAGCTGTGGCTCTGCTGCTGTGGTTCCTTAGCCACAGAGAGCGGCATAGCTGACTGGCTTGTCCAGGTTATAGAGCTTTCTCAGCCACATATGTCATAATGATTCCTCGTTGCTTCTGCTTGAGCTCAGGAACACTGTCTTGCCTTACCTCTGTTCTCCAGGTGATTCGTCTTCCTGCTTTGGGCACTTAGATCAAAACAAACATGGACCAAAGGCAGAAGAAAGATTTATTTTGAAACTTATATATTTATAAATGTATTATGACATTGTGGAAATATGAATTGGAAAAATGAATCCCCATTTGTCTTACATGCTAAAATACCCCAAAATATTGCTCTTAATTTTTTATTGTGTAACTTTACAAACGGCACCTTATACAAGGGAAACACAAAGATTGAGACTTTAAGCTCAAGGTGATAATAAAAAAAATACATTTAGATAATTTATTACATTTATGTCACTAAACCCCTGTGATTATTACACACTGTACCTTTAAACAAATTGTCCCTGCACACAACTGGATGCACATAAAGCTAAGGCTAGTTCTTGATTAGAAGCCAATTATTTGGTCCTAAATTATAGGTCTTCCAGTTTTAATTATTTCTTGGTATTAAAACAAACTTAAATGTATCTAAAATTTCAAGGTGACAGTGTCTGAGCTAAATCTAAACATGCATTAAGTACCATGTTGTACTTTATACAGCCTAAAACACAATTGTTAAATACCAAAAGTTTTAGAGAAAGTCTACTTTAACACAAGCAGAGAAAAAATATTAGATTTCTTCCATTTCTATCATGTCAAATTCATTATTAAATATAACTCTTTGGCTACAGTACATCTTTCTTAAAATTTGTTCTTTCAATACCTCAGCATGGCTTAGTTATTCCCTTTATATTAATGCACTTCAACATATATAAAGCTTTGCTGCAGAACACTTCTCAGGTATTGACAGGAAACTGTCTTTCTTCCAGGCAGCATTATTTAAGCTTTCTTACACAGACTCAAGCACATCACTGCATTTTGCACCAAAACCACACAGCTCTCCATAAAATACTTGATACAGTGTGCTATGTTTACTTTTTGGATGGTTTGACTCTCTTTTTTCTGGCTGTCATTGTGGTCTCGCTGCCTTAGCTAACCACAGTGACAAAGCTCTTTTTGGGATCATGGACCTCTCAGAGCTCTAAAGAAAAACCCTACTTACACACGTCTACCTTCATTTAACTCTTACAAAAAAAAAAGAAAATAAAAAAAATCTTGCCCTTTTCAAATTTAGGAAGAAAAGCCATTCCATTTAGCAATCTATTACTCTGAAAAGGCTGGAGAAAAAGACTTTGTTTTCTTTGTTATGTATTGTAGTTCACCCTACAGTGATTAAAAGCATTGGTTGTTACAGATTATCTTAACTAAATTTATTTAAACTACTGATAAAGGCTGATTTAACAAATTTAAGCTATTGATTATAAAGAACAAGTTAATTTAATTTTTTTCTATTTAAAGGATTAATTTCCTTTTTCTTCACTTAAAATTTTTTTATAAGATTAATAAGATTTTTTAAATCTTACATACTGATTCCCCTCAGTGTCCTAAGACCACTATGGTTTTTTTCCAATAAAGTTTTTTTTCTTCTATGTTTTTATATTTTAGTTGATTCATGCTTTGTACCAGCTGTTATCTGCTCTGTTCACTGCAAAAAATATAAATCTCAATAAGTTATTTTTTCTTAAAATAAGTGTGTTTTTCCTTGATTTGAGGAGATAAGTAAGACACTTTGCCAATGGAACAAGACAATTTCCTTTTAAAATAAGAAAAAAATATTTTATCGTCTTATTTCAAGTAAATATTATCTAACTATCTTATTTTAAGAGTGAAAATACTCATTCCATTGGCAAATCATCTTATTTACCTGCTCAAATTAAGGCTAAATATACTTAATTTAAGCCATTTTTTACTTATTTCTGGATTGTTTTTGCAGTGTTTTCCTTCATCAGCATTTGTGTATGATTTCAGTTTTATGTATGTTTTAATTTGTGTTTAATTCATTTATTTTCTCTTCTTTGCAATATTCATGAAGAAAAACACAAAGCAGAATTTGACTATAAACTGGACTTTTACACTACTTTCTTATCACTGTGGTGTTGACTGCCCTCCAGTGGCCATGCATCATCACTGAAGGTTATCCTCCCTCTCCCTATGTGAATTGTATGGTCCTTCATCTCTTGTATATTTAATTTATGTGATCTTTCTTTTGTTCCTTAACATATCTAGGTCAAAATATATTAAAAATACTTTTGATAATATTTTAAGAACCCAACATTTTTTCCCCCTCCCTCCCTTGATGAACATATAGACATTAAGGTGATGTGTAACAGTAAACTCCATGGGAACACTACTTTACATGTAAAATATGTTATTAGAATAATTGATCAAACTTAATTTCTGGATAGGAATGAATTTTAAATCATTTTAAAATTCAATCTCATCTCAGTTCAATTCAGTTAATTTGTATAGCATCAATTCGCAATCTATGTCAACTCAAAGTACTCTATAGAAACAATTACATTGGATCATTCAGCCAGATTGGTTCAAAGTTTTCTGTCCAAGGAAAACAAACTGATTGCATCAAGTCATCGAATCTTCAGCAATCCCGGAGCATGTATGCAGCAACAGTAGCAGAACCAGGCTCAGTGTGAGCGGCCAACTGCCAAGACCAACTGGGGTTCAAGGAGACAGAAGCAGACATACAGAAAGGAGCAGAGATGCAAAAGTAACATAGAAGCACTCGTCTATAAATATGTTCTATATTAGAAAAAATAACAGCTCCTAACAGGAAAGATATTTATTATTTTTCTGCTTGTAGAATGCAAAGGTCTTACCCTAAATTAGGAAGCTCTCCAGCCCTGCAACAGCTACATGCATGGTGTAGGAGAAAATGTCAAAGAGGGGTTTTATTTTTCTTTAAGTTCTTCACTCTCCTAACACCTACAATGTATCCAGTGGGCATCCTAGAACAGAACTGTTCTTCCTAATGAGCTTACCCTGCTGCTTCCTCTTGAAAATATCATCTTTCAAGTGGAGTGTTGGTCTAGTAGTTAGGGTAGTGTGCTCTGAGAAGGTTGCAAGTACCCAGTTCGATCCCCACAGCCGGCACTCTAGGCCTATGAGCAAGACCCTAAACCCTATACTGCTCCCCTGGTGCTGCACAGTGGCAACCCACTGCTCCCCAAAGGGGATGGGTTAAATGCAGAGAGTAAATTTCTCCATTGTGAGATCAATAAAGTTCAATTTGTATCCTTTCCTAGTTGCAGATAACCTGATACTTCAGCATACCACACCAAAAAACATGGCTGATGTCACAACAGAGTCAAAGAAAGTGTTCAGGGGCACCTGCACTCCAAAAGCAATCTCTTTCTCCTTAGGAGGTAGCATCTACTCTTACCTTCCTGTAAAATGCATCTGTGTCATTACTTCGGTCCAATTTATTGCTAAGGCTAACATCCATATATTTATATTATTTCATCATCAAAACTCTGGATGTTCACGGCTGTCAGTGAGGTGGGTCTTCTTCGCCTGTGAAAGTAATGTCTGATCATTTATTCAGAAGGAGACATTTACATAGGTGTGTCTAAACCATGATATTCTTTCAAAATGATCACATTTTTATTCCGCTGTTGTAAACACAGTCATGAAGATACAGGAAAAATGAAAATGCAAACAATCACACGTAGATAAAAGACAATCATCTCATTATTTAATTGAATTAAAAAACAGAAGCTGAATTTCAGCGTTTAAACAGTAATTAATTTTCTATCATGGATTAAAGAATTTTAGGAGGAGCAAAACAGAATTAATCAATTATAAAATACCTTGGTGAAAATCAGCAGAAAGCCATAACAACTCTGTTTGGTATTACAATTTATAGCTATAAAAAGACACAAGGAAGGTTCCAGATGACTTTAATGTGTTATAAAAGAATGTTTTGGGTTAACTGACAATTAGGTACTTAAAGAAAATCTAAGTTAGAGGCTAATCTGGTTTATTCTGTTAACCACTGAATCTTAATTGCAAAGGAAACTTACTAATGTTCAATTTAGAATCTTACTATAGAAGCACCACAAAAACAAAAAAATTGGATTAAAAACAAAATATATGGTTGGTATATAAGACAGGATCTAATATTTGATAAGGTCTGTCAGTTTCCCGTTTATCGTCATGTAAAATGTGTTTATGGACCTAATATTTGCTTTCAAAGCAAGCATTTTAGTTACTTTCTCCTTTTTTTCTTTTGCTTCTTTATTTCTAATTAGACTGATACTCTTAAAACTACTAGCAAACAGTGCTGTTCACAGAAATGGTGGTTAATCTCACACTTCCTTCTCAGTCTGAGTGAAAGTGAGATGAGAAAGCCCAAATGTACAAACTGACAAAATAAACTGTGTATGATGTGTGAATGTATTCTTCCCATCATTCAAAGATTAAAAAGTAAAATCAGTAAGAGTGACCCTTCCCTTGACGACAGTTAATTGAGTTAAGAATCTGGTTGCCATACTATACTTATTTCTGTTTTTGTGTGGATTAAATATTTGTTTAGCTTGAAATTCCTTTCTTGATATGAGTTTTAAACAGGACATACATAATAATAATAATGGTATTTTATTTTTCTAGTAAATTTACTAAAATCCTGTCTTTTCTTTAATTTGCCAACAGATGGCTCCACTTGAACAATTATTGGAAGCTGAAACAAGGTTACATCTTTTAAGGAAGGAGAAAACATAACCACTACATGTATAATTTCTCTTATTTTTGTTGAAGCACTTTTAGTTACTGTAAAAAATTATTTTGGCAACAGAGAACTAAGGTTACCATATGTACACATAATTAAAAATGTATACATGTAAAAGAAAAAAGACTCTTGTAATTTTTTTTCTTTCCCATCTGCAATTTATAAAATATGCCTAATTTGTGTACAGGCTTATACATCGATTTCACTTATTTCTGCCTTAAGACATCTATTTTACTCTCTCTTCCTGCTCCTCTGAACATTTGCTGTAGGTGGTTCTTGGCAAATCATGAGAACCACAGATAGCAGGATAAACTGGGTGCATAATCCCAACAAAGACCTGCTAAATATGTGCCAACTGGTGTCGAATTAACAGAACTGTTCCATGAGCTCATTTAAACTAGAAATTAAAGTCTAAATATATAGGGTTTATTTTTACTGCCATTGTCTTCAGGTGTTTCTTTGTCTGACCATAAGCCACAGCGATTAACTTGAGTTTCACGTAGCTCTATGTAGATCATATGCATTTGTTTTTTACATTTGGTGCAAGTTTGATATGTGTTTTCTATTACATTGCTTACAACAATCGCCTATCTATGTTTCCTATTTCAAGTACACCCTGGTAAAAAAAAAATGTGCTTTATTGTATTTCAAGTATATTCATATTTCCTATAGTTTACTGAAAATGTACTTAGACAAATTGTACTTTTTGTAAATATATAAAAAGTATACTAACATTACGCTTTCATGCTAATACTTTTAACACACTTTAACATAATTACACTATGTTACACTTTATAGAAATATATTATTAAAAAAGTATACTTTAAGTGAAAGTTATGTGTAATTTCTAAAGTGTACTTATTTTAAATTTGTTTTTACATATATTTTTGCTATATTTTAAATTGTATGCTCAAAGTTGTCATTGTAACGTACATTGAAAGCATATTTTAAAAGTACACATTTTAATATCGACACTGTAATATTAAGTTTGAGTGCATTTTAAGTTACATTTGAATCTAATTATGAAGTGAAGTTATATACGCTTGTACTTCAGGTAATTCTTTTGGAAAGTGTTCAATAGTATAACTACAAAAATGCACTTAAACCCTATTATGCAATTTTGTGCTGTGTGTAAAGTACACAGATAGCAATTATTGCAGTTGTTATGTAATGTTTAATAAGTTTTGAAAAAGAAATATGATACAATACATCTTACACACAAAACCACATTGAACAAAACACTAAATGTTCACTTCAAAAGTACAGGTGCACAAAAATGTGTGTTCTGCTGAAAAGCAAGTGGTTTAAAGCTGGTGCAGTGCTACATTATGATCTAACAAATAGCATAACCCACATTGCAACAGAAAAGTTAATACTGGCCAAATGCAAAAGAAATAAACTTAACACATTACAATTGTCTCAAGTGTTCAAAAAAGAACATTTCATTAGTATTGTTTAATGGATCAAAGCAGGGCTACTGCAAACAAGACCAATTGGTGAGTGCACATATTTAAAAGTCGCTGACAGCACTTCATGCATATAGGAGTGATATGTGGAGGTTGTTTGGCCTTGATGTCTGTAAAGTAGTAGCTCCCCAAGAATTTTAGTCTTGGGGAGTTTTTGGTTCAGTACTGATATCAGAATTCCCATAGACTTTGAATGCACCACACCTGCACAGCAGTTAGTCACGGCTCCTCCCTGCTCAGAGCTAGCGTGCTTTTCTTTTAAGGCCTTGGTCTGCATGGAGAGAGGTAACTTTCAAAACATTCCCATTTGGTTTTGAAATCTTAAGATATCTGTATAAAACGCGATTTTGATTATTATATTTGTATTGTAGAAACAGGAGATGTAATCGGTTGAGCAGGAAGATTTGCTGTATTATTGTGTTGAAGAATATCCTGGTGAGTTCACATGAACCTGTGAATGAAATATATATATTTTTTGAGATGTAAAACCAGTCAGGATATAATGTTTTGTAATATATGTAATTTTACTAGCTCTTTTGATTTATTGAATGCATTAGCACAGTGAGAAGGAGGCTAACACACCCCCCATGTGCTCTTCTAAAAAAGAAAATGCACTTTCAAGCTAGCTACATCTTGTGTGATGTTGCTGTAAAACCCCCACAAGGGGTTAACGTAAAATTAACCCTTCATAGGTGTCCTGGATTGTTTTTTCCAGATACAAGTATTGACTACTGACCATAATGATTTCTTAGACAGTGAACCACATGTAAATTGATAATTTTACTTTATATTTTTGTCTGTATAAATGTGGTAAAAACCAATTTATATTATGGTGATTACATGATTTATTTTCCAATTGAAGTAATTGCTCTGCACATTTGTGTGCAGGCTGTTTTTTTTTTTACATAGTTGCAGAATCTGCTGTTACAGCTGAGCAGTTCATTGTATGGACTGGACTAGACTCCACCAGAGATGTTGATGCAGGATGTTCCCAATTTGAATGCCATCCGGTTCCCTGGAGGGTGGTAGGAAAAACAAGGAAACTTAAGGATTTTTC